TTTTATTTACCGCTTAGGCAATAACGTTGACAATAACGTATATCTTCAACATACGTTGTCTATGACCAAAAATGTAAGTTGTTCAGTGGACTTTTAAAATTGGCTTTGCTTGAGAAAATAAAAATATACAGTTAGTGTTTTTTTTTCTTTCTTTTGATTTAGTCTTTTTGGTTTTGCATCAAACACAATGTAATTTTCGGCAATCGAGATCTGGCAGCAACAGCACATTTTTTCCGCTTGGGCAAGCGCTTCGCGAACAGTTTACCTCGCGCATTAAAGGGGTCATATGATGTTGCTAAAAAGAACATTATTTTGCGTATTTGGTGTAATGAAATGTGTTTATTTTTTAAGTATACTTTTTTTTAAAGGGGTCCTATTATGCTTTTTCACTTTTTAAATTTTAGTCAGTGTGTAGTGTGTATGTTTGGGCATAAAAAAGATCTAGAAAGTTACAAATCTCAAAGTCCACTCCAAAGGGAGATACTTCGTTTTAAAAAAAATCCCTTTTCAAGAACTACAACGAACGGCTCGTTTGGACTACAGCGTTGTTTTCCGGGTTTTGTGATATCACAAATATCATTAAAATAATTCCCGCCTACGGAGATTGGAATGGTTGGGGGGTGGGGAGGGGCGAGGTTGTGGTTAGAACACTTGGTTGAGTGCGTCAGACAAGACAACAATGAAGAAGAAGTGCTGATGTAGTGTCAAGTTTTCGCCATGTCGAAGAAATATTCATCCTTTTGAATTTCCTTGCAGCAGATGTTTTCTAACTCGCTGGGCATTTTAACACAGTTATTACACATGCACCTGAATAATTATGTATGTAAATATGTATGTTCAGGGCTCCAGACTGCGACCAGACTTTTCGGCCTTTGCGACTAAATTTTGTGTGCGGTCGCACTGGCAGGACCACCGCATTGTTCAACTCATGAGCTCTGCCATTTATGTTGCATATAAGAAACATCAAATGGCAAACACAACTGAAAGCATAACGAAACTGCACTACTCGTTTGAGCTGCGCAGCACTTAGAGAGTAGAGCATGGTTTATACTCGCCATGTCAGCAGGAGCGCGAAGCAAAAATGACGCGAATGTTGAAGAAATGATGGATGGTTTTCAAGATAAAGTAAAAGACCGCTTCAAACCAGAGAAGGTGAACATGTTGGCATTCTTGTGGAAAAAAAACATGCAAGCACTGTCACCGACAGCAAGTGTCACCTGTGTGTGTTTCCGTTTAGTTTCTGTTTGCCCCTATTTGGTTAATTTCCTGCTCATTTAGTTAATCATCATTCATTAGTTTCCACCTGTGTTGTATTAATCATCTCGTTGACTTCTTGGTTCCCTGTCTTTATAATCCCTCAGTTTCTGTCTTTCCTTTGTCTTGGATTAACGTTACTTTGAATGGTCAATGTGTGTTAATGCTAATTAAATATATCTTTTACGTCTACTCCTTGTCAAGCGCCTTTACTATAACCACGACCGCGTGACAGCAAGTTTAGTGTTACTTTTCTTTTTGTTTTCATTTTGAAAAGCTTGTTATCTTTGCTGTTTACCTCACGTTATGCTATGGAAGCTCTCTTTTATTTTTTATTTTTTATTTGATTTCTCAGTGTTTGCTAAACGTTCTGTAACTTATTTGTCAGTGTATATAATACAGCATGTGGTGTAGGCTATGCCATGCCTCATCTTATTCGTTTTTGTTAAAGGGATCATATGATGCAATTTCAATAAATGTTAACCACTTTTGTTTCCAAATAACTATAAACTATGATAAAAGTTCATCAGCATGCATTGATTAATCCCATGTTGTAGCAAAAAATAAATAAAAACATTGCGACCAAATCATGTGCTTGTGCTAGTCGCAAAAGAGTGACCAGTGGGAAGAATGAGTCTGGAGCCCTGATGTTATAAATGCTGACAGTACAATACTGGACAATGATGTAATCTGCAGAATTTACACTTCAATTATGAGACTATGGTATAAATAAATTCAACGGTATAACAGTTTCACTGCAATTCATGTTATAATGTTAGAATTGAAGACATATTACCTTTGTAATATTATCTGTACATAGTAAATGCAGTTATTTTTAAGTGGTTGTTGACATCGTATCTAAAATGTGATTTAGAAAAATAAAATTTACATTACCACTCTAATATGTCTTGCAATATCCGTGCGTGCAAAGGTTCTGCGCGATCCTCTTGTTCAATATTCTCTGGGTCTGAATCCGGCTCAAATTGATATGGCAAAATTGATGGCATCCTTAATTATATCGGAGCAGACGGAACTTTCTGCTTTGGCAAGGGCAGTACTGAAACACTGACTAAGCTGTTCGCCAATCACAACGCACTGGGACAGCTAACCAATCAAACCAACACATTTTGTTTTTTCGGAAGGCGGGCCTTCATCAAACCCGGAACTAATCAAGCTGTTTGTGCTAGGCTGGGGAGAAAGGTATTGTAATAATGTAAATTATATGAAAAATAATGCGTTTTTCAAACCACCAAGCATGACAGCATGTTCTAGTACACCCCCAAAACAAAATCAAGACTATAAAAGAGCATAGGACCCCTTAATTACAGTTTCTGTACCTGAAATTTGGTACAGTTGTATTTATTTATGCTATTGCTAATTGATTTGTTTGTTCCTATTTTATTTCAGACTGTTTACTTGTCTTTAACACTTTAATATTTGAAATGTATATTAGTAGCTGTTTTTGCTGTAGTATTTTTGTTAAAAGCATAGGCAAAGGTTCCTCTTGTAAGTGTTCTGTAGGCTGCTAATTTTTGCTCATGTTATTCTGCTGCAACAGAATGCTTTGTAAATAGACAGAATAAATGTTTGACATTAAATGTTTGACTTCATTTTTTTATATTGGATTTTTTTTTTTATCTTATTGGAATCGAAACTAGGAATAGATAAGAATCGGAATCGATAAGCAGAATCGGCTTCAAAGCGAAACACACACTAGAGGGCTGCATTGGGTTTGGGCTCCTGCGGTCAACGCAAATCTCGCGGGAGTGGGCGGTTTTACCTTTGCTGCGGGGTAGGACCCAGCAAGCAATAGCCGTCATTTCAACATTTTGAAGTATAGACCCGATATAGTCCGGCTAATTGTAACCCACTTCTAGCCCAAATAACCTTGAATTTGGTTTCATGTCGTTTTTTGGCAAAATAACTTGTGAGATGTATGATATTCCATCATGTAAGCAAAGTAATAGCGTTTACAAGGTGTTTGGTTTCATTTCTTTGACATGTTCAAAGATGGTTGATATCCCATCATGTTCGCCGTGTCAATAATATCTACAAAGATATAAGTGAAATTTCATGACATGGTCTATATGTAGCCACGATTTAGCTCTAAATTGGATGGGCTACGTGTAGTCTGCTTTTAGACCACCTGGCGAAATCGAGGCAATCTGTGGTCTAATTTTAACGGCTTGGCTATAGCCCTATACCAGTAACCAGACCAGCGATGAGCATAGCCAAAATAGCCTTAACATTGTTTACATGTAATTTTCACCCACACAGCTTCTTATCAAATGCAAATACTTTTAAATATCTTAAGTTATTTAATATATTTTATTTTTTCATTTTTATATTTTTTATTATCTTAAGTTGTTAAAAACTCCAGATTTTCAGCAAAAGCAGCAAGTTGATATTGTGAAATATTTTTGCTATTTAAAATAACTGCTTTCTATTTGAATATATTTTAAAATGTAATTTATTCCTGTGATCAAAGCTATTTTTTTTTTAACATGCAAGTTTTCTAATTCTTTTGTCTTTCGTTATTTGCAGAATTACACCTCAGAGCTTCCAGTTTCTGTGTCCAGACTAAGAGGCTCCATTTGACTGAATAGGTGAGGTTTGTTTGTATATAACTGTAGTTTGTTGAGCAGTAGCCTATTTTTATTAACATGCAAGTTCTCTAATTCTTTTGTTATTTGCAGAATTATACATCAGAGCTTCCTGTTTCTGTGTCCAGACTAAGAAGCTCCGGTTCACTGAATAAGTGAGGTTTGTTTGTATATTTGTAGTTTGTTAAGTAGTTTGTACCATTACACCACTGTGTGTAAGCTCTTTGGTCACAGTTGTATTTCTAATGCTAAAATACTGTATAATTATTTTTGTTATCCATACATTTTTCACATTTACAAATTAGTCCCTGCCTCCACTTTAAGCGCTTTATATTGTTGTTAGTTACACAATTGCAATTATTCAATGCCATTGCTATATCCATTTATGTTAGTACATACATATTTTGTTTAATTTATGAAATGCAAAGTAAATGACATGTCTTTGTCTAATAGATTGAAGCAGAGTTCACTCGCCTAACTTCAAAGGACCTCATGAAGTTGTTTCTGTCAGGTTTGGACCAGTATACACCCAGATTTCTTCAGATGTTTAGAGCAAAGATGAGCAGCATTTCTCAATTGAAAAGTCTTCTCAGCGAGATCGACAGTGATGTGACTATTAGTTTTGTGCTTGTTCAAATTAAAACATGCTTGTTGTTGTTTTTTTTCTAAGTTGTTTGGGTTTGTAGAGTCACACATCACACAGGGCTCAACACACTGAACCCTGTTGATCCATGTTTAACTGCATTATATGGAGAAAAACCCTGGATTGTTTTCCTTAAAAAAACTTTTTCTTTTTCAACTGAAGAAAAACATCCATTATATATCTTGGTAGACGGTGGGTGGGCCTCAGGCCTCTGAAGGGATATTTTGTGCATTTTAAAGTTAAATACTTCAGTCTGGTACATTTAGACTAGAGACAGTTATAAAGCAGTTAATTTTTTGTCAGCCTTACCCTAAATCAATCTAATCATTGTTTATTTTATTTAATAATTCCATGTCAATGAAAAGGGCTGTTGTTCTTCAGGCCACATTACCTCAGTGAGGATCCATCAGATTTCAAGTCAGCAGAGGTAGACTTGCATGTTAATAGCTTAAAATAATGGTCTGTATATGTCTAATCATGACCCTGTCTGTGAAATCTAGGATATTTTCATAATCTACACTGTAAAAAATGATGTCTGCCCTCAGCAAATATGGGTCATTAAAATAAACAGATTTTACTTTTAAAAAATCAGTTTTGCACATTACTTAATTTAAAGCTACAAATGTTACATAACATATTGAGTTTATGGTTTACTTTAATTAATAAAGAAACACAACAAGTAATTTTGAGTGAAGTCAACAATAAAAATTTTTGTCAAATTAACAAAATTTTTTAGGACCCAAGCAGATACCACGTGACGAATTGGATTAACTTTGAAACGCACAATTTGTTGTGGCCATTTTAGAAAACCAGATCTCAGAAGAGGACTGCTCATCCACGGTGAAGGTAAGAAACTGTTAAGTAGAGCTTTTCTTTATCATATATCCTGAATATACAAGTTACTGATTTTTTTATTTGGCAATTTACTAGATATCGAATGAGCACTGTTAAACATGTGCGTGCACTCTGGAGTATTTTGTGAGACCAAAATACACATTGTACAGCTACTTTTATGAGATGAATGTTAAATAATGGTGAGTGGCAGATTGTTTGGTCTGTGCAAAAAAAGGATGGTCCACAGTAGTTATATTTCGCCGTCTGACACACCTCAAACACATGGTGCGATATTAGATCGTGAACAAACAAAAAAATTCTCCACAGTCTGCCTCTAATCGTAATGGTGCTACAGTGACATTGTGCCAGTGGCAGTTCTGGTGCATCCGTTAACATACTGCATGACACGACATACATACACATCATGTTAGCATTGTAGCGGTAGTTCTGGGCGTATATATCGGTAGACAAGCGTTTTATAGCCATTCCAGTTTTAACCTTCAAATGATTTTACTCGCGTGCTGTCCTGACAGTGTTTCTTTGCACACGCACAGAAAGTCTGTCACACAGCGCGAATGCTGAACTAAGAATTTCGCGGCTAATCGCTCTTGAACTTGCGAATACACACAAAGACAGGTAAACATAAACAGTTGTTTATGTCCTAAGTGAATGTAAACTGAAAACTGAATGTCTGTAAGTATATTAAATCCGTGTATTGTCATTAATGTTAATCAACACAAAACAGAAAAATATCACTCACTGCTCTTAACTGATTAACTTTATCTTTGATAAGAATTCATGTATACTGAATTCATACAGTGAAGTCTACTGATGTTTACTGAAAATTCTGCTTACTTATTTTAGCATTTAAATCTTAGATGTTAACTGGCATTACTGTGTCATGCATTTTATTTTATTTTTAATATTAACATGAATTTCTATTTCTGTTTGTACTCAGGATCACAGCTTGATTGTCTTCCTATCAGAGAACACTGACAATCTGATTGCACATTACCACATTACCAGGTGAGTGAATATGGTAAATTTTGTGTTGTTCGCTTTGAAATTACTTTTATATTAAGTGGGAAATGCAAATGTGAAAATACAATGACTAATCTTAAAATCAAATTTTTTGTTTGTTTGTTTGTTTGGTTGAATGATTTAGATTAATGACTGCTTGGATGTCTCCATCAGTGAGCTTTATACATGTTTTAAAGTTGAGCCAGATGCACCTGTAAATGTTTTAATTTTATATAGATTATAATGTGTCCCTTCATAATAAATCAAACAGAAATTGGAAACTGAAAAAAAAAAAAAATCTAAAAAAAGTAAAAATCTCCAGTCAATGCAATTAAAAAAAAAACAGTGACATTATCAATTGAATTGACTTATTAATATAAAGAGTAAATTTATCAACACCAGTTCAGCATGAACCAACAAAAATTATGAATGCTCATGATGTTTCTGGCACATAAATAAAAGATTATCCTTCTGTAAGCATCCAGGGTCAAAACATTATGCACAAATATGCAAGTCTTAGTAGGCATTCAACACATTGCATTTAAATATTTAAGAGCCATCATTAACCATGCACAATTCATCAACTAATCACATGCTCCCACAATAACACATCAGCTAATTATGCCCTTAACCCACTTCAAATAAACAAATGAAAATCATATGCAAAATCGTCTCAGGTTACTTATGTAAGCATGGTTCCCTACTCA